CGCAATTATAGATTCCTCTAATAATCTAGGAGTGGTGTTGTTCAACAATACCCTAAATATGCACTCTTTTCCAAGTTATGCACACTAAATAGGTACAGCTAATTGAGGATCCTGTCAATTAACTACAACGAACACGAAGTTGAACAAATAAAGATTAAACTAGCAATTTGTATTCACATAAACAAGAAGTTCATCACCCAATAGGTTCCATCAAAGCCTTAGACAAGGAATTTAGCTACTCATAGATATGGGAGAATAAACTACGCTTGAATTCATCATAAAAATCAAAAGAAAGGAAGAAAGATGTTTAGAGTACTTGCTCCCAATTGTTTTCCTTGCTAAGAAACCTAAAAAATCAATACCTGCCTCTCTTGGGCGAAGTCTAGTGTTTTAAATAGGGTTTAGGTCTAAAAATCCCGTATTTTACACTTAAGTCCCTGAAGTTTACTGTGCCCACTGCGGTTCTACCGCGGTCGCGGTAGAACCGCGGCCAAACGCCCTCGCGGAATCTTCAACTTTCAGAAACTGCCTTCCACCGCGGTTTCACCGCGGTCGCGGTAGAACCGCGGTGGAACTTGTACCCGGAAATTTTTGCCTGTTTTGAATGGGATACTTGGGAAATTCAATAATTGGCCTTTTTTCATCAATAGTTGACTCCAAAACCGCTCCTTAGCCTTCCTTACACCTATATCACCTGCAAATCATGAAAAGCACTAATAAGAGCATTTTGTTGTCATTTTTCCACATTAAAAGTTCACAAGAAGGTGATTATTTGGTGCGTGATTATAGTCAAATTCACCTATTATCATCCCATGTACTACTTGTTGAAGAAGGTTGGTTTATCGTATTAAAACCTAGATATATTGGTTTAATCTAAACATAAATTTTAGATTTAACATATACAGATATGTTTAGATTTAAATGTAGAGGATTATGTTCGTATTCAGATAAATATTCATTATTAGTCTCCTCGAAGAAAAGAGCTGCGTATGCCATTAAAAGAACCTTTAAACTTGTGGAAACTAGTAGGTGCAACTTCACAAGTCAACATCAAATTTTATCACCCTAACACGGCTATATCCAGTATTCCAATTTCCAAACTACCTGAATTACCTAATTTTCTGTCTTCTACGATGAAAATGTAATTTATGTTAAATTTTAATAAATTTTGGCCAAGATCATATTTTAGAACTCAGGTCGAAATATATGGACGTAATTTCAAGAAACGCAAGAAGTCCAAGAAGTTAAGATTGATTTCAAGAAGCCAAGATTCTTTCCTTCTTAAAATAGAATTTATTTTATTCCTTTTAGAATAAAGATTTTCCTTTTAGTAGGATTCTAGTTTTTTTTTTTTCCTTATAGAATAGGGATTTTACTTTCCTTGTCTTTAGTTATTTTATTTTCTTATTAGAATAGGAATTGTTGTCATCAAAGAAGAGGCTCTAGGTCTATATAAAGGATTCTCTTGCCTTGTAGAATGGAATTCACGTTTTTGAGGCTTGCCCTAGTTTTACAATAGAGTGTTTTTTTCTATTTTGTCTTCTTGATCCTTGTTTTTGGTTCCAAGCAAGCTGGTGATAGTATTTATCTTGTTTTCAATTGCGTGTGGTGTTTCTTTATCAGTTTAATTGATTCCAAGTGGTGACTTTAGGAACTTGTTTAGTTCTTGATCTTTCAAGAATACGTTTCTTAATCTAAATTCGTTCTTTTGATATCATAAAATCAAAACTTTCATTGAACTGTTGCATCATCAATATTTACTTGTTTTGAACGAGTAAATAGCCTTTCTTATATTTCAGATTGTCATCTTTCACTACATTTTCGTTTCTAGATCTTGATCCTAGTCGGTTGGTTCTTTGTTAACTCGAAGAATCACACCAATTTTTCCCCATTAGAGGAATTTAAATAGAATACAAACTTTTAAAGACTTATTTAAACTCCCTACAACTACTTTCACAAAATTACTTTTAGTACAATTTATTTTATTATGTACAACTTTCATATCATAAAACATCTCTCTTGAGATTCTCTCTCATTTTAAAAAGATATCTCTTTCTGGTTCTCTCTCACCTAAAACGTATCTATCCCTATCAATATTCCCCCCAATTTCGAGTATATCACAAGCATATTTTCCCTCTTTTCTTCGTCCCATATATTTTGCGCATGTAAAAATGCATAAAAAACACATTGCTCAGAAAAATTATGGGCTAACAGTGATAGGGACTCCTCCAATTCCATCCCAAGCCCTCTTATCTTTTTTTTTTTTTTGTGCGTGGTAGGAATACGAGAAATTACACTGTATATATAAGGCAAAATCTGTTTTTTACATGTATATATTAAGTTTTGAATCCCTTTGACACGGTCCGAAAGTGTAGCTTAATGTTCAAGGGGGTTCAAAAATTTTGTAAGGTCATAGGTTCAATTTCCACTAGCTACAATCTTTTTAACTTTTTTTATGAATCCCCTTCGCTTAGATCCTGCCTCCACCATATATATATATATATATATATATATCAATGTCCGTGAACTGTCATGGATGATTTTTCTTACAACTAAAAATTCATGTTAATGTTTATTTTTCCTTACAACTAAGGCTCAAATAATACTTGGATTAAATATTTCTTATGATATGATAAATCATAAATGCGAGTTGTATCAATACGCGAAGAATGAAATATTCTTAACAGAATGGAAATAAATTAGATTTGCATTGATGTGATGATATTTGAGTCCGAAAACCTAAATACTAACTTTTTGGACTTAAAATATATTTCTACTGTCTACAAAAAAAGAATTATTTTTCTACATATAACGCGGTATTATACCGCGCTATACTTTAACGGTGTTTCTGCCAATAAAGTATAGCGCGGTATAATACCGGCTTATATAGCGCAGTATAATACCGCATTATATATACCGCGGTATTATACCGCGCTATATCTGTTAAATAAAGAGACCATCTTCTTCCCCACGATAGAAACAGAACCCCCCCCCCCCATAATCTTAAAAACGAGACAGCGGCCCCCCCTCTTTATCTCCAAAACAAATTCGAGTGGACCCCACCCGTCACACAAAAAGATAAGATTGTAGGTCCCGCATCCAACCCAAGCCTTCTATTATTGTGGTTTCCTCGTTTCGGGCTCAAAATTTCAATTTTCCGACTTTTCTAAAAGCATAAATCGAGGTTTCCGATTTAGTTTATATCGAAACTCGTATAATAATGCATATTAGTTGTCTTGAATGTGTTTCCATGTTGTTTTGTGTTTTGTTTGTGAGTAAATTAGAATGCTATTTTTATCCGAATTAAGATATTAGTGTTCTAAAAAAAATAGTTAAAAGTTGAGAAATAATTTTTCTTGTTAATAAACATGTTCATAAATTTCTTTTACTGTTTTATATATAATTTCGTGAATGTTATGGTATTACAATATGTTTGTTGTTTTTATTTAGTTTAGATTATTTATTTGATTAAAGACTAGTGCCCTTATAGCGTAGTAAAATATAGAGCCTTTTAGCGTAGAATCTCTGTAGTTTAAGTATCTACAATATTTTTAGATCAAACACAAACTCTGTCCAATTACAATTTACAAAAATTAATTATTTAATTTATAAAACAAACACACAGAATTATGAAAAATATTAAAATTGACACACATAAGAATTCAGGATAGCTTGGTACTATTGAGCCTCAAATATCGAGCCTGGAACCCATAGGTATATACTCTGTCCAATTGAAAACTAATTATTTAATTTTCAAAACAAACACACAAAATTATAAAAATATTGAAATTGACACACATAAGATATAAGGAAAGCTTGGTGCTACTCGACCTCAAATATCGAGCCTTGAACCCATAGATATATACGCTGTCCAATTAAAATTTAATTATTTAATTTATAAAACACACAAAATTTTAAAAATATTGAAATTGACACATATAAGAATTCAGGAAAGCTTGGTGCTACTGGGCCTCGAATATCGAGCCTGGAACCCATAGATATATACGCTGTCCAATTAAAAATTAATTATTTAATTTATAAAACAAACAAAATTATGAAAAAAATTGAAATTGACACACATAAGAATTCAGGATAGCTTGGTGCTACTGGGACTCAAATATCGAGCCTGGAATCCATAGGTATATACTCAGTCCAATTAAATAATTAAATATTAATTATTTGCAAAACAAAACAAACACACAAAATTTTAAAAATATAGAAATTGACACACATAAGATTCAGGAAAGCTTGGTGGTACTGGGCCTCAAATATCGAGCCTGGAACCCAAAGATATATACGCTGTCCAATTAAAAATTAATTATTTAACTTTCAAAACAAACAAACAATTAATATTGTTTAATTTACAGTAGACGACATGGACGTGCCGCCTATGCATCCTGGACCTTTCTCTGATGAGCTATTAGTGTTATAAGGCGATCATAGGTCCGCCTACGTATGGGAGGGAGAGCTACTGGACAGACTCTCCGCGCCAGGAGAGTGGACGACTTGTGGGACTTTATGAGGGGTAGAGATTTCCATCCCCGTGTAGTCCAGCGCCTGCGGGATACGGGCTTCTATAGGATTTTCCAGTTTGGACGGCTGTAGCTCGACTGGTCTCTGATCACGACCTTGATAGAGCGATCGCGGCCGGAGACGCACACTTTCCACCTGTCCATTGGCGAGGCCACCATCACGCTGCAGGATGTTGAGGTTTTATATGGGCTGCCTGCTGATGGACTGGCCGTTGCACTGCCTCAGTATATGAGATCTATGTCGCGTGCCCAGTATTTGGACTTGCTGCAGCAGTTCACTGGTTTCAGGCCACAGGTTGAGACTGCAGCTTCAGGGGCCAGTCGCATGACTTTGACAGCTATTAGACAACATTTGGAGATACTGCACCCCGACATAATCGGCGAGACAGACACTACTACAAATAAGACCTTTAGCGGCAATAATAATAGCCGCTATATCTTTTACCGGCCATTGGTGTTTAGCCGCTGATGTTGGGGTCGCTAAAGCCTTTAGCGGCTATTGTCACAAAAGCTGGTAAAAGGTATTGTTTATTGCCGCTAAAGATTATTATCTTTAACGATAATTGTTTGCGGCAATTATAATGGCTGCTAAATCTAATCCATAACGGCTAATTATACTGCTTTAGCAACCATTTTTTATAGCTGCTAAATTCAAAATAATTGCCGCTAAAAATTCACATAATTAACGGCAATTATTATGGCTACTAAATCCAATCCATAATAGCTAATTATTCTCCTTTAGCATCCATTTTTATAGCCGTTAAATTCAAAATAATTGCCGCTAAATGTTCGCATCTTTAGCGGCAATTATTTTGTGGCAATTAAAATGGCCATAGTATCCCTTCTGAAAACATATTAGTTTGCCATTTTAGTGGCTAATATGTTTAACTAAATTGCCGCTAAAAGTCAATATTTTTAACGACAATTTTTTTACAGCAATTATAACAGTTGCAATATCCCTTGTAAAATATCTTAATTTGCCCATTTATCGTCCATTTATATAGCTGGTATATCCAACTAAATTAGCGCTAAAAGTCACAAGCGCTAATAGCAATATTGTAGCCACCATTAATAATAGTTACTACATTTATCCAAAATATGACCCAAATAAGAAAATATATTAATATTAATTTTAAAAAAAACAGAATATATCTCATTAAATCTTAACAAATTAAAGGAAGCACCAATCAAAAATATTGATGTCACAATAACTAAACTTATATTGTTTGAACTAAATAGCTAATGTCATTATATAACTAATCCAGGCGAAAGATGGTCTTCAAACGATTTTCGCAACTTTTCATCATTATGAAATCTTCCACCCACTGAATTATCAAGCATCAAACTGTATGACCTGAAATTATAAAATAATTGTATCAGAAGATAAAATACAATGCGAAAAAAACATCTTCAAAATTCCATCACTGTCACGATTCATAAACAGAAAAAACATTGCTATTAACAGAACAACAGCCATCAAGCAGAATAACCACAAAATGCAGAAAATTTCAGCTGAAAACAGTCACCAAAAACTGCAGAAATTGCTGAAACAGTGCAGATATCAGTAACAGGAATAATACAGATTTTATTTGCTCTAATGCTAGTCCAAAGCTTCAGGTTTCAGCAGCTCACAGATGTAGAAACAATGCTGAATTCACAGTCCAAACTGTGCAGGTTTTACTGCTAAACTTTTGCTACCATTGAGAAATTTTCAAAGTTCATCAGTCAACCTAGACTCTCTTAACTGGCTATACAAGAATGATAGGCTTTTCACTATGGCTGAAGCATCTTCTGGGAATAGAAAGTGGCTTCTGTCAATCCCAATGTTTTTTTTTAAAATTCGAATAAACTTATTTGAGTTATACTTCATTCTGAGCTGAAGGGCACAGTTAAGCTTGTCTTCCAACCTGCAGAAGAAGGATATGCTGGTGCCTCCTATATGTTAGAAGAAGGTGCATTAGATGGGTTTAAAGCAATAATTGGCTTGCATGTCTGGCCATTTATGCCCGTAGGCACTATTGGTTCGAAACCTGGTCCTATTATGGCTGGATCAAGCAGGTTTACTGCAGTAGTGCAAGGGAAAGGCGGCCATACAGCAACACCACATAAAACTAGGGATCCAATGTTGGCTGCTTCTATGGAAGTTCTTGCACTCCAACAACTCATTTCTCGAGAAACTGGTCCTCTAGAGCCTAGGGTATTTATCGCTCAGTTTCCATTTAGTTACAATGTAGTCTGCTTTTTGTTTAGAATCCTAATTCCAAGCAGAATGGTCTAAAGATCCCTGTTGATTTGCAATTATATGCAGGTTGTCTCTGTTACCTTTGTAGATGGTGGTCAAGCTGGAAATGTAATCCCTGCAAGTGTAAGCTTTGGTGGAACCTTCCGGTTCATGACATTAGAAGTATATTCCTATCTTAAGCAGAGGATCAAAGAGGTATGCATAAGGGTTTTGCGAGGGGACCAAGTCCCTCCGCAACTTCTAGAGAACTTTCCGATCTTTTGAGCTTCTATAATCTATATAAACTGTAGCCTTGCTAACTTCACCTATATTAGTCAATAGAAGGGTCAAACCATAAATCTACAACTTGTACTTTACGCTTTTCAGATTAAATTCTTCCACATTACCTATAGTCCAACTTTCTAGTAATATCTTATTGGGTATGTATAAAATGTTATTGTTGATGAGTAACACTAGAAATACTTGCTACTCACAGATCATTGAGACTCAAGTAGGAGTACATCAATGTTCTGCCACCATTGATTTCATGGAGGAAATGAGGCCATATCCTCCAACTATAAATGATCCCACTATCTATGGTCATGGTAAAAGAGTTGGAGAAATCTTGCTTGGCGAGAATAACGTGCAGCATTCCCCAGCTTTAATGGCTGCAGAGGACTTTGGGTTCTATTCCCAGAAGATGCAACTGCATTTTTTCTTCATTGGGATTGACTGAAGCATCCCCCAGCAGCAATACAGGATAAGATTGGCCTTGGAAACAACTTTGGAGTTTGTAAAGCACCACCCAAAGTAGCTTGTTTCTGCTGGACAGTTAATTATGAGGCAATCCTGACCCAATATAACCTTCAACAAAGAAGCATGAACCCTTGTCACAAGTGTTACATGTGTGAGAAGGCAGAAGAAGATGCAAATCCCCTTTTCATTCACTGCCCAAGTAGCCTCTCGTACTTTTGGATACAAATAGGCAATGCCAGTATCTACCAAAGAGCTTCTTTTCAGCTGGACAGGGAAAGGAATGGGGAAAGGCAGGAAGAAAATCTGGGAAATCAAACCAGCTAGCATTTGGTGGGTCATATGGAAAGAAAGATATGTCACACGTTCTGAAGGCAAAAGAGAGAACATTCACCAACTGAAGGACTTGGTTGCACTTGGGATGTGTCCCTTGCTGTTGATAAACACTATAACTTTGACCTCTATAGTACTTAAACCTCAGTGTAACTACTTTAACTCTTAAAGAACACATCTATAGGGATCTCTTTAGTTAAAGTCTTTTAACCTGTCTTCCCCTATTAGTAGTAGTAGGTATACTTGCTGCTTGTGTAACCCGTTGTCTAACTATAATTATTCAAGTCCAAGGATACTTGCTACCATATTTTCCTTCTACTAACAGCGGTGAAGAAATATTCTCCACTGCAGACTGCTGTGTATTTACGTCTACTGTTTTCCCTCAGAGTACAAGCCAAAGATGGTGTATACATTCAGGCATGTTCGACATGCTAGCTCACCTTCTTTGAACGGTCTTGTAAAGCATGACCGTAACATATTTTGAGCAAAAACAATGTGTTACACCAAGTGCTACAACTGACCTTGGAGCTTCTATGTTCTCAATATACAGATGGTTTAGAATTCCGACATATCACAGATGGTAACCTCTAGAAAATCACCTACAAAGAAGGTGGAATCACCAAAACAACAGAAAACAGCTGCTCGACGAAATGCCACTAGCAGTAAGGGAAATATAAAAGCAAGAAGCATCCAAGGTAAGCCTAAATACAACAACAAATTAATAAAAATTGAAGGAGGAAAACTCAAATAATAGCGACGAAAGGACAAAGATGAGTAGTACCATGAGAAGGTTGAGCATTTTCAGTAACACTAGGCATCCTTGATGTTTGTGGTACTCGTTCATGTCCACTATTGGCATCAGGGATCTAATAAATATTAACATGTTAGATAACAATACTTTTATATGATTAGAATTTCATTAAAAATGTCTAAAGCTTATGAAATGGAGTTACCTGTTCACCTGAGGTGCCATTGCTACTTTGAGGCATAGATGCATCAGGAGCATATTTGCGCATGAGTTGTCTCATTTGGAGTAATTCTGATTGCATCATCTCCTGATTTTGTTTCATCATGTTCATTTCTTCGTTTTGTTTCTCCTTTAACTCGATTATCTTCTGTTCTAACCTTTGTATAACCTCATTAGAAGAATCATCTGCAATGATATTTCCTAAGGAAGACCTACTACCCCATAGAACATAAGGAGTTGGACCAAGTCCTAAACCACGAACATACCCACTTTTTTCATTTCCTAACACCTGAGAATACACATCGCCTTCCCAAGCAACACTACGAGGAGGTTGCTCAGTAGATCTCTCACTATTGCTCATCCTTTCATTTATCATTTCCTGACCATAGAATACACAATAAATCAATTTTGGAATTCATGGAAAAAATGCACATTGTTTGACGGAGTCATCAAACCAACAAAATAAAAGAAAGAATAAATCTTACGATTGTCTTGACAGAATCATCATCCAGTGGCCTATCATCCTTACGTTTTTTATGAGTTAATAAGAAAATTTCTGCTCTTGTAGGCTCAATCCCATTTACAGCCTAATACAATAAAAATGGTATCAGATATGTGTGACAAAAAAAGGTCTAAAATATTATAGTTTGTAATTTTCACAAGTTTACCTGCTCATTCATCAAAGTAGCAATACTTTTGGATCCTCCTGTGTGAGGCATCGTTTGCTTGGCCCTATTATTTCTATTTATTTGGGTACGTCTCTGTCATTGAAATATTAAAAATATATCTTATAAATCATAAAAAAAATTGAGCATAACTAAAATAAAAATGCTATGAAAATGAGCAGACTAGGAGAATTTTCAAGGCTCATACCTTAGCTTTATCAGAAAGCCAATAAGAGACAAGACCACTCCATTGATCCCTCGGTATGCGACTTGGTCTATTTTTTAGTAATGCGTCTTTAGTCTTATATTTTGGCGTATACTCACCATTTAAATCGCACTTGTAATCTTTCCATTTCTTTCTAGTGACTTTAAGACCCACGCTTCTCCACGTTTTGGGATAGAGAACTTTTTCTGAAAAAATAAAAGCCAACATTTAGAAGATAACATCATGTATCAATAGCAAGGACATGACATGCTAGAATGCTGGAGGATTCACCCTGAATTGATGGAAAACAAGACTGTGCAACAGCAGGTTAATAATGCAGTAGATATGGGAACTAACAATCAACAAAATGCTGTGGTTCCTCAACAGGTACAAACAAATAATCAATTTGCTATCTTGGAGGTGGAGAATAGTGAAGGTAATGAGAATAATCAGCTGGTTTTGGTTGATGAGAATCCTGGGCAAAGAGGCAGTCTTATTCTAAAGGAAAATACAACTCTGAATCCTGCAGCACCAGTGTTTAATCCAGCAAAGGCACCAGTTCTTGACAAACAAAACAAGGGAGCTAATGTGAATATAAATGCAGCAAATAAAGGTCACAATTCAGTAGTGCCAAACAACAGATCTAGTCCAGCAAGAAATAGCAACAACAAAGGTGAAGAGGCAAGAAAGAAAGAAAAAAGAACTCAGGATCAGCAGAATAAGGAAACAACTTCACAATGGGTACAAAGAGCTTTCAATGGGCTCTTAGTTGGAACCAATACTTCCTGCCAAGATGTACCTTCTCAGGACACTAGGCATAAGCATTTTGAATTCATTGGGATCCTTGAACCTATGCAGCAATCTAACAAAATAATAATAATAATAATAACAATAACAATAATAATAATAATAATAATAATAATTACATACCCTCACAAAATCCACTAATTTCTTCTTTGCCTCTTTGTCAAAATTTCTCCAATCATCTACATGTAGTGTGACGACCCGGCCCGTCGTCACATGAGTTACCGCCCCGTTTCTCCCATTTTATGCTTCATCATGTTTCATTATCAGTAATTGGTGTGTTAGAGTTGATTTGGATTGGTTTTGATAGGAAATGAGGCACTTAGTCTCTTTAAGGAAGGCTTGGTTTGGAAAAAGTCAACCGGATGTTGACTTGTGAGTTAGAGGGCTCGGATGTGATTTCCGGTGATTTGGTTAGCTTCGGGGGATGATTTGTGACTTAGGAGTGTGATCGGAATTGATTTTGGAAGTCCGGTGTAGAATTAGGCTTGAATTGGCGAAGTTAGTATTTTGGCGAATTCCGGTTGATGGGTGAGATTTTGATCTGAGGGTCGGAATGGAATTCCGGGAGTTGCTGTAGCTTCATTAGGTGATTTTGGATGTGTGTGCAAAATTTCAGGTCATTCGGAGGTGTTTTGGTCGGGTTTTTGATCGAATGCGAGTTTCGGAAGATTTGGATGAGCTTAGGCTTGAATTTGACGTAATTTGATGGTTTAGATATTATTTGTGGTGTTTTGATGATTCGACCAAGTTTGAATAAGGTGTTGGTTCATGTTTGCTCTTTTGGTTGAGGTCCCGAGGGCCTCGGGGTGATTTCGGATGGCTAACGGGATGAAATATGGAGTTTGGAGACTGCTGAAGGCACCTGGTATCTGGTATTTCCGCATCTGCGGAAAGGAACCGCAGATGCGGAGCCGCAGGTGCGGAGGATATATCGCAGGTGCGGTTCTAGTCCTGGAAGGGAGACGCCGCAGATGCGGAAGGAAAATCGCATCTGCGTGGCCGCAGATGCGGTTCGTGAGTCGCAGAAGCGAAGGGGTCAAAGTCGGGTGTTTCCGCAGAAGCGGAAGTTTGATCGCGCATGCGGTGTCCGCAGATGCGGAAGGTGACTGCAGAAGTGGTCTATGCTTTTAAGTGAGGATCCGCAGAAGCGGAAATGTAACCGCAGAAGCGGTAGCGCGGATGCGGAAATCGGGACCGTAGAAGCGGAAACCCCTGTTAGCAGAAGGGTTTTTAATGTTCATTTTTGTTCCGCGAAGCTTAGTTTATTTCCACCATTTTTAAGCAACTTGAGAGCTCTTTGACGGAATTGAAGGGGGATTTCGACAAGGTGTGATTGGAGGTAAGTTCCTTCGCCTAAATACATGAAATTATGGTAGAATTAACATGGAAATTTGAGGAATTCATCAAAAGAGGGTAAAGCTAGGGCTTGGGAATTTGGTATTTCGAAATGGAATTTGAGGGGTCAAATGGACTCCGATTTTGGTAAATTTGATATGTATAGACTCGTGGCGAGATGAAGAATCTGGTGATGTCAATTTTCTAATTTTTCGAGAAGTGGGCCCGGGGCTCAGGTTTTGCCAACTTCGTGAATTTCGATATTTTTCGAGTCTTTTCGATTGGGTTATATTCCCTTAGCCTATTGTAACGTATTCGTTGTGGTTTTGGCCAGATTCGACGCGCGAGGAGGTTGATTCGCGAGGCAAGGGCATAGCGAGCTAGGACTTTGGCCAGCTTGAGGTGAGTAATGGTTATAAATGATGTCCTGAGGGTTAGAAACCCCGGATTTGCACAACGTAGTGCTATGTTGAGGTGAGATACACGCTGCATGATGAGCTTGGGGTCCATTACTGCTGGGGATTTGGACTCGGTCCATCCCGATTGATGATTTTACTGTGTTTTTGATTGAGACTAAAATTATACCATTATAGTTTGGGCTAGTTGCCATGTCTGGGGCCTTGTGCCGACCTGTAGCACCCTTAGGGGTATTTGTACTGATTAACCTCACT